TTAATTGTTGTATGGTCGAAGCTCATTTGTTCTATAGACAATTAATTATTGAGAACATAACTTTTGTGCACAGCAAATTCAATTATTCCCAAATAATAGAAGTAATCATCGGTTTAATTGTAGATTTTATCAGGTTCATATGTTTTGAACTACGTTGTTTACAGGAGAAGTAAAATTAAATTTTATTATATACGTCTTGGGTATATCTTTCGTACATACTTGTGGGAACGTTAAACATTAATGCCAAAGTCAATAACCATGTTCATTTAAAATATTTTAATATCCCATTATTATATTGTCCTCAAGTTTTAGCAAAACAATGTTAATGTCACAAGTCAATATATAAAAATTATTTGCGTTTTCATTATTTCCTTCAAGAAATCTGGATAGACATTCAAAGTCAAAGATACTTGAATTTGGTGATCTGTAAAATGTTGTAACTAAAACTGTATTTGCGTCTATTTTAATACATATTTTGAGTGCCTTTATATCGGTAAACATTTCAATGGTATGATAAGGACATCACAGTGATGATATAGGTCACAAATTCATTATTTTGGTTATGATAACTCTCATTTAGGGGCGATTTCTCCATTGGTTCATTTGTGCAGTAAACACCTAGTTATATTTTATACAAACACATTATTTTAAAATAAATTACATAAAAATATTAATTCGATTTTAATAATTTTAATATTTTCATACGTCTTATCTATTTTTGGGTACTCCACTGCGTTCTGGCTAATCCCGTTTTCGTGGCGCTCTTTTATAAGTCAGCTCGAAGGAGTCAGAAGTGTTCTCAAAAGTCTTTAGCTAAAAAAAGATGTCTCACGTTAACAGATCCGTGAAACGTAGTGTAACAAATATAAAATCACTTAAATCAGATTAATTTGTGCAACGCACACAGTGACCTCACAAAATAGGTCGCCAGTGCTAAAAATAAAATTTACGATAAGGATTATATTTAAAATTGACACTCTATATATTATGGTTATACAATAAAAAAGAAATAGCCTTGTTAATGTCCTATTTTGATTTAAAAAAACAATATTCCTCTGAGGTAAAGAGATTAGATTGTTATATTATTATGCTACCCCAAGGACATGAACTCACAGCTCTTTGATTGATTATCAATTACCTTGGATTAAAAAAAGCGGTACGCCCACTAAAAACAGTGATACTTTTCTTTACTCGCATTATTTAGATAACTCTGTTATGTAGAATGCACATAGTTTTTTCTTGTAATGACCTGGCTTTGTTCTTAGGAAACTACACGTAGAAAAAAACATTTATTACAGTATTTAATAGCTAATTAGCTGTTAATATCTTGAAAAGTGTCTCGGATATTATTACCAGTGGCGTATTTTAATAAATATTAAAAAATGTAGTTGATAATACGTAGCTCCTTTGTTAAAATTTTTAAATAAATTAGACACCCCATTTTTTTGAAATATACAAAATATTCTATATTTATAGGGGTTTAAAGACATACCAATACTTATTTGGTTCTTGGCATTGATGCCAGATTTACCCTGGTTTCGTTAAAATGACTTTAATTTATTAAATGCGACAATTTTCCTATATTCTCATCGTCAATTTTGGTCAATTGTAAAGGGTGACAAATATTATAACTCAACAATCTCCAAAAAATCGCATTTGGTTATATAATTAGATGCTTTGTTTGGAAGGTCTCTACAGATTTCCAGTAATAAAGATACAGTTGGAAGCTATTTAGATTTACTTAGAGCTATTTAGAGCTATTTAGATCTTTTTAGAGCTGTTTAGACATTTTTAGATCTTAGAGCTATCTAGAGCTATTTAGAGCTATTTAGAGCTATTTAGAGCTATTTAGAGCTATTTAATGCAATTTACAGCTGTTTAAAGTTACTTAGAGCCATTTAGAGTTATTTTAAGTTTCTAAGAGCTATTCAGAGATAAGGGATTCTATTCGAGCTGATTATTCTCACCTGTTGAGTCTAAAATAGCGCTAACCCGGTCGTGGAATATTAGGTCCTTAAATGTCAAAATCAAATGGATTGTTGTATCGAACAAGTCAGCCGCGAACTTGTTTTATAACACTGTCATCCAACGTTAAATTCAACATATTGCCCGGAAGTAGTTATCTGTGTTGTAAGGTGGACAGACATTTTCCCCATTTAAAATCGGAACTGGAATAATGATAGTAATCCTTAATTTTTAAAGGATTTATTTTATAAATTTCTTATAAATTTCTTATAAATTTCTTATAAATTTCTTATAAATTTCTTATAAATTTCTTATAAATTTCTTATAAATTTCTTATAAATTTCTTATAAATTTCTTATAAATTTCTTATAAATTTCTTATAAATTTCTTATAAATTTCTTATAAATTTCTTATAAATTTCATTCAAAACACTCCAGAATTAAATTTGCCATTTCAAATAGCTAGATTATTATAAAATCTTTATTCAAACAAATAAAACATTTATCAAAAATAACAATTTTTTTTGCTAAACACATCCTCTGTTTCATGTAAATAAATTTATATTAAATAAGCCAAACTTATTCAAAAAAAATTTTTAACACAAACAGATTTCAAACAAATTAATTTGTTTGATTGAAAAATGCCTTTTCCACAGTGTAAAACACTATAAAACAATGAAATGCATCAATCATATTTCATATTTTGGACATCCATCTACTATTATTTTTATAATATCAAATTAGTTACAATTCTGTCAAACTAATTGTCAGTATATTTTTTAGTTATTGAGATTAAATATACATTAAAATGAAGAATTTTTGTGCATTTTTATTTTTATTTTGTAAATATATTAAAAAAAAAATTTAATCAAACTATGAGATACTAATTTAATTACGAGTAATCATAAAAATTGGTAGATGTGAGAACAGGGCTTCTGCCTTTACATGTGAAAAGCCTGGGATCGAATTTGGGCTGGGGACTAATTAAAATATTTTTTTTTCATGTTTATTTTATAAATTAATAAGGTTCATAAATTATTTTATAATTAGTTATTTTGTCTGACTAACCTAAAATATTTTTTTTATATTTGTAGATTTTCGTTAGTGGGTCGTAGAAAAAATATACTGTACAGCTCGAGTGGAATGTCCATATCCACTCTTGTTACATAAACTACTATAGTTTAAAGCCTGCGATATTTAATTGAAATATTGCATAATTTCAAGTAGTGAATTTACAAGAAAAACAAATCATTAGAGGTATCTTAAACAACTAAAGTTATCTTGGCCAATAACAAGTTATCGGCAATAAATATTGTGTACAGTAATAAGTAGATCCCTGTTGTAAAATAGTTAAATTAACAATTTGTCTTTTTCAGTTTTTAAGTTGATACTTTTTTCTCAAAATCAGCCGAGATTCAGTCACCTAGTCCTTTTGAAAGTTCTCAGTGTTTTTAAAAAAACCCAAACAAGCCTATATTCTACTCTTGATAAAGACAGTAAGACAAAAACTATCTAAAAAATACATACATTAAAATGTACGACTTCAGCCAAATATTAGAATAAATATTTAATTATTAATTCACAAAACCCAATGAGAACTGGTGGAGAACTTCTTACAGAAAGCATTAAAACAAAAGAAAATGATTATTGGAATCTAGACGACAACTTCTGATTTTTGAGTGGCAAACAAAACAAAAGTCTAATGTTAAGTAGAGAAAAAATATACCTATATATAAGAGATGAAATCCTAACACAAAATGATAACTTAATTCATTGAGACCTCTAATGGTTAAACCAATGAATTATAAATTAGTGAGAAACTGGCGGATTTGTTATTATTTAAAAAATGTCTATTTATTAGCTTTAATAAACAATATATTCGATAAAATAGTTTAGTTAGAAAATTATAAAACGCATTTGAATGCAATAAAAAAAAATATAAATTGACGGTAAAACAAAATTATTTTATGGCTTATTTAGCACTTTATTGTAATATAAATTACTCATAGTAAACCTGAAACTATCCTTTTTAAAAAATTCGCAATTGGTGATATTTTTTATGTAATATTTAATTCGAACACTCTGTATCTTAAAAAAAAGCACTTAAAATCACATGTTAACATTAAATTTTAGTGCTAGCCCGCCCATATAAAAACCCATTGAACCTGAAATCCAACATTTGAAACAAATCAATTCTGTCACCTGTCCAGGGTCAAGTATAACAAGTCTAAAAGAGAAATTAACCTTTTTTCCTGTTTATATTAGTGACCAATCGGCATACTTTTTTTGGTAACTTTCTTCGGAAATTTTATAACAAGGTCATATGAATAAAATGGAATATAAATTGGAATTTAACTTTATATCGTATATTATAACAAGAAACGGTTTAAAAGTTTTACAAGAACGAAGCAAAAATATATTTTGAGAAATATTTTGTTTCATACTGAATTCATCAAGAAAGAAAATATATTTACAGAAAGTTTAATAAAAAAAATAAAATCAGAGATAGGAGAATATGTAAATTAGTAAATATAACTAATTAGGAAGGTTGTTAAGCAATACTAATTATTGTGTTTGAAAGTAATAAAGTGTCATCATACGTACCTTGTTTAAAACCTGTAATATTCAACTTTAAATCCATTTAGAGAGAATTAATTTTACTTTTACTGGTAATTAAACTTTTTTCATGTACTCTTTCACTTTTTTTGATCCCTTTTTTTAATTATTATGATAAATTACTTGTAATATAATTAAAAATCTACGAAAGTAAAATTAAATAATAAAAAAATAATGTTTCATTAATTTTTAGCAATTTAAAAATATGACAGTTTAAAATAAAGTGAAATTAAATTTACAAAATCATATTTTTCATTAATTTTAGCAATATGAAAATGTGACAGTTTAAAATAGAGAATGGTTTAATAAATATATATTTAAAGATCAAATTAAACTATTCTTTATTTTGAAGGAGAATAAAATGTTCAACATTTATTAAAATAATTTATTTTTCTTAAAAAATAACAATAAATTAAGTCTATCCACTCAGAAATCTGAGTAACTGGTAAAAACAAGTCTTTGTCCATCAAATGTCGTAAGACAATCTATAAAAAAATAAATTAACATAAAAATAAGTGTATCGTTCTTTCAATGACTTAGTCTAAGCTCGCTGAGTTTTGGCAGGTACGTGAACCATCATCAGTTCCTCACGATTGTTTCACTTGTGGCTGGTGTCCCCGGTAGGCCAGAGATTGAGCATCAAGGGACCGTCCCCATCCTCCGGAACCGCCGCCGCCTCCGTAACCGCCTCCTACGTCACCACCATAGCCGCCTCCGTGTCCTGAACCGCCTGCGTAAGCGGTTTCGTGCGTGGCAATATGCGCTGAGGAATGTTGAGCGTGAGGTACTACTTCGTAGGTAACGTGTTTCTGTCCACCGCCGCCTCCAAGGAGTTTCTTCAGTCCGATGATCGATGAAAGGACTAAAGCGATTTTACCGATGAGGAGCGCTTTTCCGGCGATTAAAGCAATGGCTGCTAGTGCTAATTTACCGAAGATGGCTGCTTTGAGTGCCACTAAAGCCATTATTCCTCCCATATTTCCTTTTCCTTTCTTTCCGCCGCCCTTCTTCCTACCTTCACCTTGGTCATCGTCTAAGGAGTTTTCTTCTTGTTCCAAAGTTTCTGCGTAATCGTTTAAGGATCTTGCGCCTGAAGAAACAGCGTTGACGATTTCGCTGCCTTTGAGATCGATTTTAAGGGTGTGCGATTCCAAAAATCCCGCTATCCTGCTGAAGATGACCGATTCGATGGTATCGTCACTGGAAATAGCACGTGGAGCACCGTCTTGATCACCGCCCGATTTGACAAACTGCACACCCTCGGTCACTGTAATCGTATCTCGATGACCGAGCATTTTGTCGACGAAATTGAAAACTTTGTACTTGAGACAGGACATCGAGTCCTTGCGTAGGCAGTCGCTGTAGATGGACTCCAACAGGTCGTGTTCGGTTTGTATCGAATTGCCGCGAGGTTCGTCGCCCTGATTGGGCAGCGTGCCGGCCGCGACGAGGTGCAGGCACAAAAACATACCGGTTAACTTTAAAAATGCCATGGTGGTGAAGATGGACTAACTGATTGTTGTATGATGAACCGAAGTCAGTGTATGGATATATATCAGCGGGCCCCTTCCCCTCAGCGGCCGGCGTTTGGGGTCCTGACACCCGCGGGGCGCTGTGGCATGGACCGCTTTCTCAGAATGAGCGCGTCTAACCTAGTTTTGGACGCGGTCCTCGCGTGCGTGCGATATGCAGTTGCAGAGACCACGGATGCGTTAACTAGGTATGATATATGTACCTACGTACCTTCTTACATACATGTAACTATGTGGGCGTGCGTATATTGGCCTTTACCTATGTACTTGCTCGGTGTCACGGTCTAGGTTACTTACATGCATATTATCCTATTCAATGTAAAGTATTATTGTGGTACCGGATGAAAGTGAAACTTCACTTTACTCGTACTGTGTTACGAGGTGTATACGAGAGATTCAAATAAGAATTCGAGAAAATCTGTTTCATAATTTAATTAATATTTTTTTTGTTTTCAAATAAAATGCTAGCTACTCGAACTTACGCATAGAAATTTTTAGGTAAAATAGTTCAATATTTTCAACAGGAATGCAAATTTTTGACCGTGGCTTGCAGATTTTAAGTGCTAGTTTTTTTTCAGATTAATTTCCATGACGTATATTTAATGCAGGACCATAGGTTTAATATATACAGGGTGATCAATGAAGTCATGCAAAAAATCAAAAAGTTTTATTAGTGAAATTTCCGCAAAAATATTTTTTGTCGTTGCAATATGGTTCATTACTATCTCTAAAAGATTTTGTCAATTTTTGGATTAAGGCCCTTAGGTCTTGTATACACTACTAAACATATAATTTAGGTAGCAAAATTTTTAAAATGCTAAAACTTGACATTGGATTGACGGTTCTTGATGATTTTTGCGGATTTGGAATCCTTATTTCACGTAGATTTTCTATGATCCAAGCATTTTATTTGAGGGTTTAAATTTACACAATTTACCGGGTCGATAATAGACCAAAACGTAGCGATAATAACAAGTTTATTACATTATATTCTACAATATACAAGATTGGTTGACAATGACCAAAAGTCAAGTCTTAAAAAAATTCTAATTCTAAACCTAATTTAAAAGTTTCTGCAATCTCAAAAAAAATCGTAATCGTGTACTGTAATAACAAAGATTGGGTATGTATGTATAGGGATACCTAGTGGTAATTGGTATTGGTAATTTCTAATAAATAAAAAAAATTAGCCTAAAAAACATAAATTGTCAAAGATGGGAATTGCAACCTTGCATTTTCGGAGTTTACAATGAAATTGGGTTATTGTTGGCAACATCGTGTTAAAAGGACGAGATCATTGAAAGCAACCGGCAAATATCAATGGAAAAATGACAAGTGTCCTATCTTTAAATAATAATTTACCCGAAATTAAGAAGGTAGATTAATTAAAACAAGAGAAACTAATATTTTGTTGGTTCTCCTGTTCGACGTATTACTTCTCGAAATCGATTTGGTGGAGTATCCACAAGAATTTTTATAAAATATTGTGGAATAATAATAATAATGTCTTTATTATTTCTATAAAAATACAAAACTAAATATAATTATTTTATTATAAAAAAAAATATAGAAATAATGGGCGAAGTTCATCCTTTGTAAATGTTTGATCATTTACAAAGCATGTTCTACCACTTCACCCTTAAACCCCTAAACCCCAAACAACCTATACTAAGTCTCCCATTCTTCACGAATGGCCTCACTTATTATTTCTAAGGTTTCGGGGGGGTACATCATGTAATCTAAAGTTTTAAATAAGACCAAACGTCCCTACTCGACCATTCACTGTTGGGTTCTAATTAACAGTGCTGTTCCTAAAGTGGCGCTGGGAAACAGTAACAAAGCCCACACAGAACACGAGGCTAATGACCTAAGCAGTCGATGCCGATGACACCGAATTATAAAAAAAAAAGACCAAAAATGTGTTCGATGACATTAAGATTCGGAAACTTTACAGGCCAGTCCATCTTATTGATGTTCTGTTCCTGCAAAAACTCTGTGATCCTTTGTGATTTGTATGGGTGAGCGTTGTCATCCACCAATAGAAATTCTGGGCCGTAATTACGAGCAAAAGGAACAATAAAAGGTTCCAAAATTTCCTCCTGGTAAACAGTAACGTTAACGGTTTGGTTGGTAATGAATGCCTCGGTTTTACCATTTCTTATGATACCTCCCCACACTGTAACACCTCCGTCACCAAATGCCTCTTGAGGGGCCATATTTTCCTCCAAATACCGCTGATTTGGCCTTCTCCAAACTAACATTCGGCCATTGGAGTAAATCAAATTAAATCTTGTTTCGTCAGTAAATAAACAATGGTAAATTACATATGACAGTTTTGCCAAATTAAAGTTTTTCTAAAATTATATTTATTATGTTTTTTATTTTTTATTTATATAGAAGGCCATGAACTGGAAAATAATGTTATAAATGTTTTTTGGTGCATATTGTTAGATTGTTAATAAAATTTGACATCTAATGGCAAAATGGCCCCTAAAGGTATCATTTAAAAAGTGTGGTTATAATATAAAACAAATTTTTCAGAAGTATTTTTTTTCTAAAGGATTATTTATTTGATAAAATGGCTTTTACATCAGTTTATTTGGGGCTCTTAAAACATTATTTTCTAGACTACTGCCTTCTACCTCAAGAACATAAAATAAATTGTTGGAGAAAAATTAAATTTTGCCAAAACTGCCATATGTAATTAAAAAGTAGATTTAAAAAATATATAATATACAGGATGGGTTATTTAAGACATCAGACTTAAAGGCATTTCCGGTAAAACAGCAAGTCGTCCATTCTGTTTAGGTATGTGTCAATTCGAAACTATGTCTTGTAGGTTTGTCACAAATTTGATACCAATTGCTTTATAAGTTAAACCTAGTTCATTTGTTTACAATGTATAGGACTACATTATTGATCTTTGAACGTTTCTCTTTTTCGTTCATTTTAGAAAGATTTTACCTTTAAATATGCCTACATCTGGCTAAAAGATCAAATTTTTTATAAATTACCAATTAAGTACTAGATCAGGAAATATGTCTTTCTCTCCATCACCTCCTTTTTTCCCTGGTTCTTGGCTGAAATTTGGGCCATTAGGTTCTCTTGTTTCGAAATTTGTGAAAGGAAATTAATATCTTACAGTTTCACTATGAAACAATAATTAATCTAAGTGGAATTTACCCATTTGAAGATAAATATTACTAAAATAACAGAAAAAACTGCTTATCAGCTCCAGTAAGCATTCTTAACCTTTCTTTGTGATGTAAAGCTTACCCATTTTCTCAATTGTTACTTTTAAGTCATTAATTATCATCTAAAATCAAAGAACAACATTAGTGCTACTCTGAAGCATATAACTACTTCCACTGTAGAGCATGTAACTACTTCCACTATAGAGCAGATTCCTACTTCCCAACTAAAATAATTACCACCTGACTATTGTACCTATAGCTAAAAATCACCTTCTCCTTAGTACTAAATACACTATAATAGCAATTGTAGGTACTACTACTGACTTTAATTGCATTAATTATGTTAGAGCTTTTCATTTTAGTCTGCTAGTTGTTTTGCGTTGCACCTGCATAATGCTAATTAACCTGCAAAGGTATTCAGGATTAACCCCTTATTTGAAATATTAACTATAAGCAAATTAGACCCTGTAAACATAGGTAGTACTACAAAGGGGTAAAATTATATTTAACTGTAAAAATCAATATTGAGGATTCTGATGTATTACTATTTATTTATGCTCATCATTTCTGATCATCAATTTGGCTTTCGACAATACAGCAATGTCATGGGATTGTTATTTATATCAAAAGAACCTTAGAAGAACAGAAAATGGGTGCATTAATATTCCTCGACGTATAAATGCTTTTGACAAGGTGTGGCACAATGGCCTTTTGTACAACGTGAAAATGAATTTGTCTAGTGAAACATACCTAATATTAGGATCATACATGAAAGAGCGATTCTCTCAAATCAAGATAAATACCACACTCTCAAATTACCACCCCTGCACAATCCGAAGTTCTTCAAGGAAGGGCCCTTCCTTTAGCTCCTATTTATTGCTGACATACCTGTTGAAGAATATACATCACTGTGGTATCAGACAAAAATCCAGATAAAGCTTCCTAAAAGCTACAACATTTCTTAAAATCGCTACAGACATTGCTAAGACGATGGAAGATTGAGGTAAATAATGAAAAGTCCACACAAATTACATTTTCAACTAGAAGGGTCGATTTTCCACAAGTTTACATCAATAACGTTTCCATCATATCTCTATTTAGTCAAAAGTTAAGTACCTGAGACTCCATTTAAACCGGAAACTGACGTGGAAAATCATATAAAAACTAAAAAAAGCTCACCTAAATCTAAAAGTCAAACAAATGTATTGGTTGCTAGAAAAAAAACCTCAGCAGTAATCAGAAAACAATGTTTTACTGTACAAAAGTATACTAAAGCCGATTTGGAGCTATGGTGTCGAATTATGGTGTTGCAGATAACCTTCCAATATCAACATACTACAAGCCTTTCAATCAAAGATGATAGCAAATGCTTCATGGTACTTTACCATGGTAATTTACAATGACCTTGAGAGACAATTTATAAAAGAGGTTATTATTCTACATGTAAACAAAGCAAAATAAATAACTTTCGCTCATGATAGACCAACTAAAAATCTACTTTACTAACTACCGCTTGTTGGAAGAAGGTTCAAAAGGTCATGGCAAGAAGACCTTACTGATGGTGTACTGGAGAATCGTCACTGGACGGTGCCCAGAACAACTCAAACTATTTGCTAAATACTCTTTGTTTTGTAATTAGTAGATTAGCATGTAAATTAGCACTCAATAAAAAAAATCGATATTAAAAAAGATGGTAATTGTATTTGATTGTAAAAAGTAATACTAGGTTTTCTGAAATATTACTATCCATGTATTTATTTTTATTAAAGAATCTAGTACTTAATTTT